CAGGCCATAAAGAGCTAGTGAGCGCCGGTACATGGTATCTCCGCCTGCGAAAAGTACAGTCTCCAGCCGAGGTACATTATCGTTTTGATTTTGTACTTGAGGTGAGTCAGCTATTGCTCCCTCACTGTATTTAGTAGCTATGAGATTACCTTCTCCAAAGTGTGAAACACACTGGATTAGGTAAGTACATGGCACCGTAGTTTTCTTTTAAGTTGTCAGAGCTAGCTGGACTGTTTTAGCCTTGCAGTAGAAAAAGAGTACGCGACATACGCAATCAGCTAGAAGTGGACATGAATCTTGTGCCTGCTGAAAAGTAGAGCCTACCTGTACAGGGTTCCACTCCAACAGCTGATATAGTGTGTCCATGCTTGACTGCTTCAAGGCTCAAGAGATATAGGATAAGACTCTGCGTGAGTAAAAGACACTAGCGGTCTGCACCTCTACCGTGTACGCCCTAGTCACTCTTTCAACCCCCCCCCCCCCGACATTTAAAACCAACTCTTAAACCACCGAACTCAGGGACAGGAGCCTGCGACCAGCCCCAATACATTGCTAAAGCAAGGCAACTCAGGTAGCGTAACCGCTACCTTTCGTGAAAAGTGTGATGGCGTGTTGCACCAGCCAACTTGAGAATTGCCACAAGAACGAAAATTGCAATTTCAGCATCGTCCACTGACTCATCCACATTTCCAGTGGGACAAGGAGGGGGCACAGTGTCCCAGTCAAAGAACTTTGCAATCCTTCTGGCATTGCGTCGTCTGGCAATCCTTCTGGCACTGTGTCTTCTACCGGGTCTGCTTTACTCTCTACACCTCTTCTGTGGTCATAACGGAACTTGGCAACAAGTTCGATGACTTCACGAGAACAAATCAAAAACGCAAGACATGTGGCCCACCACTTTGATGCCACGGACATTGTGCATCTTGTATGTGCATCGCCTGTGACATTCATGCAAAGGAGAAACGCCTCTGGCTCTCCATTCTCTTCGATGCTAAGGCTCAAAAAAGTAGACCACGTGTAAGTGACTTGGAAAGCAAGGTACACACCGAACTCCATCCAAAAAACATATTTCCAGCTTTCCCATTCATGCTTTATGGCTGCAACAATGGGGTCCGATGAAAACACTGCCACTTTGTCCGGGATGTCATCCTCACTGAGCTGTGACAAAAAGTCATTTGACAGGATTCCTGGTATTGCAAAGAGTTCCGCAGTCAATGCAATGTTGTACCCAGCAGCCCTCGGCAGTTGCCTCTTATCAATAGTCGGCATCCAAATTTGATTGGACACCAAAGGATGCAGGTGCGTAGCCGCATTGCCCTCCAATTCTGGGTGTGTGTCCCATACCTTGAGCACAAAGCCCTGCAGAAGCTCGCCTAAGGGGTCCTGCAGGCATCCGAGCCTTTTCTCGCACAACAATTGTTGCATCGCCCCACCGGCAATTTGCAGGTCCTTGCAGCTTCTGGCGTACCCGAACTGGCCCTCAGAAGTAGTTTGGCACCAACTGAGCAAGCGGGTGGTCAAATAGGATGCAATCCATCGATCGTCTTTTGGCTTGAATTGCTAGGTCGAGTGGGCAAATGCCCATGGAATCTCGCTTGAGAATTAGTTCTTCACCGGGCTTCGACTCATAATCTTTAGGAATTCCCTCGACAATTTTTTGCAACAACCTTTTGTTTTTGATGCTGTGGACAAGCCGAAAAGGCTCTCTCTCTAAAAAGTGACACCAACAAAGCAACCCGTAGCCTGTGATGGTGAGAGCGCCCCGAAAGGCAATCCGGTGGAGGAAGGCAGCATCGGGTTCTGCATACTTTGTAGAAAACGTTGGTCTGCACTCGGGAAAGGGAAAAAAGACCTGGCGCATGTCCTGAGAAGCTTTTGCCAGCATGGTGCCCTCGGGGTTCCAGCAGAACAAAGCCTGAGTTCTGTTCAATGTCTGAGACACTGCATCCAAAGGAATCGAGCACTCAAACCAAGACTCCTTCTCCTGAGACACTGCATCCCAAACGATACACGTCTTCGAGCTAATTGTTGCGAGCTTGCTGCTGCTCTGGTTCCAGCATACGAATTCGATGATTTCATCGTCCTCGTGCTGCAAGCGGGCTTCGGGCATCTTGGCTGCCACATCCCAAATGTGGCATGTCTTGTCTCTCTTTTCAGAATGAACTGCCCAAACCGCAAGCTTGGTACCGTCGGTACTCCAGCACAAACGCAACTCGCAACGACCATCGTCTAAGCCATCGTCCTGCCACTGGGTAAATGGCTGCTGAGGAGACGCCACTTCCCAAAGCTGGCAGGTTCCATCTATCAAAGCTATTGCGAGCTTGGTGCCGTCTGGATTCCACACACAGAGCTGGCCCAAAGCTGCAAGCGAACCTCCTTCTCCTTCGTCAAATCCCAAAGGGAGCACTGTTCTGGTGAAAGTATTGCAAGTGTATCTTCCTTTGGATTCCAGGCTATGGCTTGAATGCCAAGCTTGTGCTTAGAAGAACTCTTGCTTTCCCATAAGAAGTTATTGAACTGCCAAACTTTGCATTGCTCGGAATCAGGTTGACATGTCGCGAGCATGGTGCCCTCCCAGTTCCATTGTAGACAACGTTCACCACCGAGTCGATAAATGTGCAGTTCTCTAAATGTGTCGCTTTTGTCTTGGGACTCCCTGTCCATCATGTATAGATGAAGGGTTGAGAGTTCACCAACAATGGGACTATATTCATCCTTCGCGTCTTGAATTACAAGTACTTTGGTGCGGTCCCGATTCCAGCACCCACGCACATCAGCGTCTGCCAGAAATTTGATGTGGCACAATAAATGATGGCCACCCAGTCGAGTGCTCTGATATGATTGTGCGCTGTGCTCTGATATGATTGCGAGCTTGGTGCTGCGCGAATCCCAGCACAGACCTCTGACACCTGTAAGGTGGAAACTCGCGTTTGATATTTCTGTCCAGAGCTGGCAGGTTCCATCGAACGAAGCTGTTGCGAGCTTGGTACCGTCTGGATTCCAAAACACATGTTTGATCTCGCTTTCGTCACCAAAGTCAAAAACTCTTCTCTTCTCCTCCCCCTCCTCTTTCACGTAGCGACTGCGACTCTCGTTCCACACGTAGCACAAAACGTAGGCACTGGTGGCAACTCTTCTTTCATCCACGGAGGCATAGCGTGTCATGCAAAATCTGAACTTGCCCTCTTGGTCGCAGCACAACTGCGAGAGTTGATCAAAATTTTCACGATCGAACTCGACTTTTTCCTCTTTCAGCGCTCGGGAACTTCCACTCTCGTTCTCGTGCCAAACATAGAGACCAACAACTGCGGGTCCATCACAATAGGGGCCGTTTGTTTTTGTTGCAAGCATGAAGCCCCCCGGAGTCCAGCACAAAGAAGCAGTATCGGTATCATGCACCGCCCATATTTTGTCTTCATGCTCTTTGTGAAAGTTGCCAGATTCTTCTAGATGAAAAATTCCAAACATGCCTTCCTCCAGCGAAACTACTGCGAGCTTGGCATCGTGCCAGCACAAATCATCGCAAGAAAAGTCGAAGCTGCCGTTCCACTCCTTTTCAACCGGATTGGACAAATGCAAATTTGGCTTTTGTATCGGACGTTTGAGTGTGGGTGGCGCGTGCTTTCTACACATGCTAGCTTGGTGCCCTCCTGATTCCATCTCACATTGCATCCCTTCAAGAAGGAACTGTCTAACGGGGATTCTTTCAGCAGTGTCAGGAATTCTGTCATTTTGTCTTTGGCGTCTTCGAATTGCAGCTTCTTTGGATTTTCTTGGTACTTGCAAGGATCCGCGTTCAAACGGCAAGATCTTTGTGAGTCTGCTCTTCTGGGCTGCTCTGAAGCGGCCTTTCGCTCAGGAGCACTGCCATCATGATCAGGCAGCACTCCGACTCTGGATGGCTTCTCGTCTCTCCCCATGGCTTCTCGAGCTGCAAAGAAACAAACAAAGTAGAGTTCGCTTTGGTGCATCAGCAACTCTACACCTTTGGCTGGTACGTCGCGCAAAGACATTTGCAAGCCAACTTTTGCCACAATTCGACGATCTAAGCATGTACAGCATGCTGAATCAAAATCTACTCTGCCATGTAAATGCAGGTTTGAGTTTAAAGAGTTGTGGAAACTGTGAAATCCCATCATGTGGGAAGTCCAAGTCCATCCGCAGACTGACCGCAGCCGCTTCACAGAGTGTCCAAGTTCACTGCCTGAATTCTTCAGTGCCAACGTCAGGCATTGAAACGCAGAGACAAGGACGAACCGGAACATTCCGTTCCGCAGGGAAAGAAAGGCCAAAAGGGTTTGGAAGATGTAACCTGAGACACTGGCGACAGGCGCATCTCACTAACTTGATGCTTTCTTACCTTCAGGACTTGGCATCCGTAGGTCTGCACTCACTCACCTGCAGCAGATGGGCTCTCCAAGAGAGCCTTTGAAATAAGGTGTTCGCAGCTGTAGATCTGAGCCTTCAACAGCCACGCTGACGATCGCCACACTCGGTAAGGAACGCTTTGACCTTGGTGATGCACAGCAGAAACGGCATCCTTCACTACTCCACGGCTGACTCTAATTTAAGGGAAGGCAAAAATGTTGGGGTTCCCAAAACAACACAAACAAGCGTCATCAGCATCTATCTTCTAAATCCTTGCGACGGAATCTCTTTTTCTCCTCACCATTAAGCCATGCCTCTTGAGGACTCATTAGTTACCAGAGGGCCCTTTATTAGCCAATCATGGACTTCGCCGAGGACGGCCGGTGAAGAGCTATCAGAGCGCCACCACACAAGGCTGTCCTGCCCTAGGGCGCCACAGCAAGAAGGTCTTTCTTCTCACGTTGCCAGCTACAGCTGTACTGTTACCTTCGTCCATAACTCGTGCCCAACCGTATTCAGACCAGATGTCAGGAAAGTCGCAGAATTGATGTAACCTTTCCTTCTGGTTTATTGTTGTGTATTCTCAACCGTCAACTGCTTAGAGACCTAGGCCCCCGAAACGCAAGGATAATGAAGCACAATCCCAGAAAAGCCGTCAGGAAGAACGTCCATTCATTGATTGTTGCATACTTCTTGCACTAGATGCAAGTCATCCGTAACACAGAACTAGACCTGGACGGCGATTCTCCCCTGTTTGGTGCCATCTACGCTCACAGCACCCAGCATCTCTCTGATGGTGAGCTCACCGTCACCCAGAATTCTGCCAGCCTTTGGCTTCCCCAAACGCTGTTTAACCTTTTGGCCTATAGCCTATAGCCAAGCTTTCGCCTGTCTTAATTTCCATGTGGTCCTTTTAATACAGGCCAACAAGTCTTTGAGGAGTTTGGAGGTGGCATGCCCAGGGATACAAGCGCTGGGTTCGGAGACAGCACGCACACACAGCCCCACCCAAAGAAAACAAATCACAAACATCAAACACAATGAAATCCGTTCATTGCCAAATCGACCTCAATCGTTTCAAACACTCAGGCCTTGAGTGATGCGCCCTCTGCGGCCCCGCGCCATCTTGACCGCAGGGGGCCCACGGGGGCCCGCGGACCCGAGCCCATCGAGTCACAAAGACTTGAGCAAGTGCTTGCGCTGTCTTAGAGTTTGGTGCTGCACATTTGGTGGTTGAAACTTGACGTTAAAGCTAGCCGAGCAGTACACAAAGCTTGCTGAACAGACAACATGGCCGGCCGGCCGCCGGCGAAATAGCAGGCCAGCTGTCAAACGTTTTTGAAGACTAAAATTCACGAAGAAACTTCTAAACAATAATTGTTGTGGCCGGAAGATTCCGGGGAAACTACAGGGTCTTGAGGCCTTCAAATTGCGAGTGACCAAAACCAAGCCTCAAGATTGGCATCTATAATTAAGCAGAGATCAATGGTCCCTGCCTGCCACGAACAGTCACCACCATGTGCGAAAATGCGGAGAGTGAGTGAGTGTGAGTGTGCGAGTGTGAGTGTGAGTGAGAGTGAATGAGAGTGTGAGCGCCTGCGCCGACATCTGCACTTTGAGGTTCACAAAGTACTCCGCCCGCCACGAAATCTGCACTTCGAGGTTCACCAAGTGCTTTGCCTGCCACGAGGTCTGCACTTCGCATCGCATCACTTTGCGACTGGGTGGCCTCTGTTGAAACTGTGCAAATCTCCCGTTTCATGTCCTCCACTGCAGTTCTCAACGCATCACTTTGTGAACGGGCGGCCTCTGCTGAAACTTTGCAAATATCCCGCTTCAAGTCCTCCATGGCAGTCTGTTGAGTCTTTGTCCAGTGATTTACTTGGTCAAAGAATTCTTTCATTTCTGTCCGCATACTCTTGATTTCAACCAGGCATAGTTGCCCGTTTTGGTCCTTCGAAACAGTTTCGTCTGCTTGGCCTTCGGGCTCATGTCTTCTGGCCCTTCTTCGCGGTGTGGCACTCCGTGAGGGCACTTTCAACATCATTGCTCTCCAAATGTTCCAAATGGTGCAGATGTTCACCAAGCTCAAACCACCAAACCAAATAATTGAGACAAACAAAAGTCACTGCGTTATTGAAATATCATACATGTTTTGACACACTTGCGCATTCTCATGAGTTTCCAGAGGATCCTTTGCTAGCCAGTCATGGACTTGGCCGGGGGCGGCCGGTGAAAAGCTGTCAATTGGCCACCAAACAACAATGGAGGAATTGGAAGAGCGAAGCTGGAGAGCCAAACGCGAAGATAATGAAGCAACATGCGACACCGTGACACCAACGTTATCCATGTTGACATTGGCGCTCCGCGACAAAAACAGGGAATCTTCACTTTCCACACGAAACAAACGAGTACTGTGGTTCACTCGGCATCCTGGAGGCCCAAACAACACGCCAACGGGCACTCTCTGTCGACCTGGTTGGCGCGGAAGGAAAGCGCCGTTCCAAGCGGATAGGTCACTACGCTCTATCCCCGCGTTTCGGTACAGAAGATATACGATGAAAATATTTGGTCCTCTATAGGCTGTGATACTTCATTGTCATGGTCTGTCAGACATATGTAGTCCGCCTGGAAGAAACGATGTGAAGCGGTGGATGATCATGGGTGAGCGTGACATGGTGACCATGACAAGTCAAGGAATCAAAGCCCGTAGCGGAGACGGCCCACTGTGAGCCTGAGAATCTTGCGCGCTGCAATTTCTTTGCCATCTGAATCCTCCACGCGCAGCATGCTGGCGGACGCAGAATTTCAAGACAGCGCCAGCCGTTTGATCTTGGATCCCAGGTGGACCAAAAAAACTACAAACAAAAGAAAGATCTGTTTGCTTGTTTGATATGAGAGCATACGCTGAGGGAAAAGAGCCTCTCATGCAAATGGTCTTGCCACCAGCGACCGGCCTTGGGGTGGCCGTCGAAGCTCTTCTTCCCCCCCTCTTGTAACTTTGTAAGGTCTAAACGGGGTGGGCGGGCCCTTCCCTGTAAAAACGCAAGGATTGCGGTACCTTCTCGGGACCTTCTCTCCAAACACGGATCCCAGGTGGACACCAAAAAAACTACCAACGAGAAAATTGTAATGTCCAAACAGTGCAAGGTCTTTGAGGGCACGCGGGTCATTTTGGAACACGTAAAACGGATCGTTTTGGAACACAGATCATTTTGGAACACAGACTCAGCAGAAAGTCTCCAAAACTGTAGTCTTATAGCATTTTACGGATCATTTTGAAACACAGACCGATTACAACTAGCCAAGAAAGCATGCGTTGCCATCAAAAGTCAGTGGATCCGTAGTCTCACAGCATTTGGTGGATCATTTTGGAACACAAACCGATCCCATTCTTGCCCCACTCTTGGTTTCTGCGTTCTCATTGTTAACCCACTTCGTTCCCATTCTTGTCCCACTTTTGGGAGTGAAGCTCGGAAAAGTGAGGTGGAAAGGCCGCTGGGCATCCCTGCTATGGTGGAATCGACACGTGAGGAGGTGGAAGAGTGCAACGGCTACATCATCTCGACAAAGTTCGTCCAGACTTGGAAGCAGTGTGGAGAAAGGAGGATGGTTTAGGAGAGCCCGCCTGGTGGCCCGGCAGTTCAAGACATGTGGACATAGAGCAAACATTCGCTCCCACATCAATCATGGTCTTGCCGAAGATGTTGATCCACATGATGCTGAACGTCTTCAAGGACTTCGTGGCCATGACCTTGGACGTAAAAGATGCCTTCCTCATGGCGAGCCCGCCAGAAGATGACAAGGCTTTTGTGGAGGTTCATGGCAAAATCTACAAATTGGTGAGATGCCTCCCACATCCTCCCACCCAACGGCAAAGGAGCATGGCATGGTCCAGGACTTGATGCAACCAACCCTATTGATGAAGGTGATGGAGATCTACATCACGGTCCACGAGGACGACGTCTTCATGCTTGGAAAAGAGCAAAGCTTGCGGGACTATGTGAAGCACCTGCAGTCAAAAGGACATTGAGGAGAAAGGTCCTTTCCGGATTGGTGACTACCTGAAGAGAGAGTTCCGGCTCTGCAGAGATTGGTGCGACATTCGATGTGCCTACAAACAATACGAGAGCTTGGCAGAGGACACAAATGTCAACAGCAAGGCCTACAGGAAAACCCCAATGGACCAGAGCTGTGCAAAGAGAGATGAGTCCCCGCTGCTAGAAGGTGAGGAGATTACAAAATTCAGGAGCGTGGTTGGACGCCTGATGTACCTTGCAGGAGAACGCCCTGATTGCCAGTTC